CATCAAATGGGCCTAAAACCCTAGTTTGGAACGGGCCGTTCCAGAACAGCTTGTTGTAAGTAAAATTCGAACCCAGAACGGGTCGTTCCACTTTTGGAACGGATCGTTCCAGTTTCTTATTTTACCCATAACAGACTAGCCCAGAACGGGCCGTTCCAAATCCAGAACGGGTCGTTCTGGCCCCCTTCTGATGCCTATAAATAGAAGACTCGGGCACAGTTCTCAGGGCAGCCAGAGAAATTTTGAATAAGACTCCTTTGAGCACGAAAATTCTCTATCTCTCTCCTTGTGGGTATTCAAAAAATTCATGGATACCTGTTTAATGGATACCTGCGTGGATATAAGGTGAATATGAGGCTAATTTTCATCTAGCAGAATAGAAGTGGGTTTACTATTACCCGCCCCATGAGGCCGCAATTGCCATCCATATTTCGACCCTATTTACGTGAGTAGGGTGTTCTATCTAAAGTAAAAACAAAAATGTATAAATTAACCAAAGCTCATGGATCACTTTCTAGTTACTTAAATACACCACTTTTCAGACCAAAGATATACCACTTTCTTAATTTTTAAGAAATTTGCAATTTATTCTCCGTTACAAACGAAATTAGTGCAAATTTAATTCAACTTATATTTTAAGGAAATAATTTATTTTTTATTTATTTAATAAAAAATTGAAGAATAAAAGATATATTTTTTTATAAAAATATTTTAAAAGCTTCCAAACATGTACTTGTTCCAGACATGGAAGGTATTTCATGCTCAACTTTTATGGTTAATGTCAGTCTGTGAAAATCTGAAATTATTTTCGATGTAATAATTCTCACTTCTCTTTTTCTTAATCACATTCACATTTTCACGTAGAAATGACAAAATGAGATGCCTACAAAAAAAATTAGCGGATTGGATTAAACTTTCTATATCAGATTAAATGTGTGCATGGTTAATTTGCCAACCCGTCAAATATTTATTTATTATTTTTAATATTAAATTTGATTAAGTCAAATGTATTATTATGATTTATTATGCATTTGATTTATTTTAAGTTAAAAAATAATTTTCATCCTTATAATTTATTGCTTTCTCTCTTTTAATCTCCGTAAATTTTGTTATTATCATTTCATCTTTAATCTTTTATAATGTTTCAAAAATAATCCTTACTGTTAACTCTCGTTAAAAAAATTACATAAAAAATAAAAAATATATATTATATTTATTATATTTCACTTCATCATTGTGACGTAAGTAAATTGATTTTAATTTTTTTTAGACAAAATTTCAAAATGCATTTCACTACGTTTTCACCTTCGTGATCTCGCTTCCTTTCTTTGATCCAAATCCAAATTTTGTAAATCCTAAACCACCCAATCCCAACCCTAATTCTCTTGACAAAGAGTAGCTTCTCACGATAATGATGCCAAGTTCTTTCTCAATGATCACTACCTTTACGAGGTTGTCATTGACCATTACTTTAGCATGGAGGAATTCGACCTTACACTCATTACTCTCCCATTGTGCAGGAGCTCATGCACCACCAGAGCATCCACCACTTTATTAATGTTGTCTCCTTCTCCAAGGCCAAGAAGAATTGTGCTAGTCGACAAAGGATATCAAGACTTATGCCACCTATCTTGACTGTTGTCACGACAACGAGTGAAACACCTTATCGGGGAGGCTAGTGGTTCAACTTCACCACTGACGACAACCAAGACATGATTTTCCTCGACTAAGAGAAGGTGTGCATGAAGAGTATGGATAAATGCATTTTAAAATTTTGTTCAAAAAGAAATTAAAATTAATTTACTTATATCACAATAGTAAAGTGAAAATATAACAAATATAATATGAATTTTGTTAATCACGTAAAAAAATTTTAAACGAGGGAGTTCACGACATTATTTTTGAAATATTATAAATGTTAGAGATGAATAGTAACAAAAAAATTACAGAGACTAAAAGTGAAAAACGATCAATTATAGAAGCCAAAAATTATATTTAAGCTTTTATATTATTATATGTAATTAGAGATTTGTTTTGCAACAAATCAAATATAATTTGTTGTAAATTGAGTTTTATTTTATTATTTAAGTACATTAATTTATGTGAATTTTTGACATATTAAAAAGAATATATGTCAAATAGTATTCAAAATAAATATACAACCTTTTTTTTGCCTTTTTAATTTTTTGGCAAACTCATCTACTAGTCTGCCAACCCACCCTTGGGCACAGTAGACCAAGGTGTTTAACCCACTTTTGTTTGATAGGTCAGCCTAGTCCATTTTTGGCAAACTCATAATAGGTCCATTTTTGGCAGCCTGATAGTAGGCCGAGGCTAAACAAGCTAGACTGACCTGATATGTCATTTCTATCTTCACCTTCATTCTTCCAGCATTCTAATATCATTTGGTAGTTTTACAGGGCTACTAGAGAAGAATAAGCTGTAGTGTGTTTCGGCTTAGCTAACGTAATTTACACTGAGAAGGCAAAATACAGAATACCATCCAAATTGGAGAAATTGTAAAGCTAGTTAGTATTTCCCAAGCTAATATTCACATACAGGGAATTTTCTAACCAATGTAATGGAACTTTTAACTCTAAGAAACAACTACCCTTTGAACAAGTTATAATCACTACTAGAAAGAAAAATTATAAGACATTATACACTGCGATCCTAAACCTAACTTTACAAATGGATAACCATAGGAAATGGCTTAGGCCAGAATTTGGGCTGTACTATCTGAAGGATCAACTAAGGAGTTGTAAGACTAACTAATTACATAATATGAGGAACCTTTGGATGATGGCCACGGACAGACAACAGTGGATACATTTGATTTTGTTTACACCTGATGTAATACACTTACAACATTCGACGATTCTCCCACCAGTGAAAAATTTACATGCCCAGAATTTCTGATTGATTACCTTCGCCGTGCCATATTGGTGTGGTGATGGGCTTTGCTATCGATTCTTATCCTGTCGGCATACATGGGAAGGCGAATTATCTCATTTATTTCATTCAGCAGGATAT